TTTGTAAATATTATTTCACATAATATGTATCCAAGTGAAACAAATCAAGAAATTCGACAAGCATTTGATCTTTTTGATCAAAATCAAGATGGTATAATAACATTTGATGATCTTAAATTAACTGTTGAAAAATATCTTATAAATTCAATTAATGATTTTGAATTATATCAAATGATTGAATTAGCTGATCGTAATGGACATGGACATGTATCATTTGAAGATTTTCTTCATGCAGCTGTTTGTCGAAATGATAAGAAACGAAACAATATCAGTACTTAACTAACTATCAAATTATCAGTCACTTTTACACAATGACATATGCTACTTTTTATTTTCAAGACATGAAAAATAAAAATTCTTTTTTTTTTCTTCATATTGGTCGGAAGTAAAAGATGGATCAAATCAAAACATTTTATTCAGTAGCTGCGTAAAGGAGGGATCAAATGAGGCTCAATCCCCACATTTCTAGTCCAAAATCTTGTCTTTACCACTGTTTATATGGATGAGTTCATTTTTTCTTTCTCGATTTCATAATAATAATAATCATTAATTCTTTGAAGGATAATGAGACATAGATGTTGCTTCACCTACTTTTTAGTAGAGAAAAAATGTTTAGTTTAAAATTAACTGTTAAGTCTACATGGCTATATAAGCCATAGATGACATATATTTGTTATTTCATACTTATCTTTTCTTTCTTTCTTTCTTTCATATGCAGTAATGCCTCTGTATGTGAGTATCTCCCAGTACTACATGATATATAGTCCACTCAAACGAATTTTACTATGAATAAGCCACTACTATGTGCAGTGAGACCTTATCTCTGATCCCATAAGCAATAACAATCTTTGTTATGTGAGCAACAAATGCTCTATAACCCATGCACAGAATGATAAAAAAAATGATGCTATGTGTATTATATGATGATAAACAATCATGGGAAATACATAAGAAGGAGAGATGTACTAACAGTGCATGTTTAAAAGAATCAAAAAAAAAACAAAGGTTAATCGTGTTGATTTACTTCTGATTAAAAAAGATGAATTAATAAATCGTTGAAAAGAAGAAAAAGATTACTTTGTGCAGTCAAAAAGCGATTGTAACTGAATATCTATGAGTTGGAAAAAAGAAACTGAAAATCTCTCAATAACGAGCACCATCGTAAACTGAACACTGTTGTTCGATCTCAATGGTGCTCGTATTACATTGGTTTTTTCTTTCGATTCTTTTCAAATATCCTCTATTCTTTCTGTTACTGTTCAGTAATATCATGATTTCTTTTTTTCGTCTGATCTATCGTCTGTGAAGAATATTCTCATGTTTTATTGCGTTTTGGTACTTGTTCATTTTCTCATTCATGTCCTTATGTTGTTCTTGATTTTTGAAAAACGTTTATCGGTCACATATCCTTATGCAACAAACTTTGTCTTACTTTTCCCATTCATAGCAAATAATACTACTTGTACTCTTCATTTACTATATTCTGTTTACTATAGAAGCTAAACAAATGGAGTTCTATGAAACGAATGAAATCAATGAGCAATCCTTTTATTCATATACTAGTAACGACAACAATGAGGATGACTTGGATTATAATGAATTAATAGATATTTTAGATGAATTGAGAATGTCTAATATTTAAAAGATGAGAGAAATTCATCTTTTTTCAGATTATCATGCCATTTATATTTGATGTTGTTCAGCGAGACGAAATAAAATGATTAAATAGTTCCTTATCGATTAAAAAAAACTTCGCTCTCAAAGAGTTAAACATGTTTCACTTTGCATAGTATCGATAATTATAGTTCAAGATCGGCTAATACTAGAAAAATATTAAAATAAAGTATCAATTGAACGAATCGTTTTTTTTTGTGAAGTATTGACTATGTAGAGTAGGCCATAAATAGCACTACAATAAAAAAAATTGAAATATCTTCGCTTCGATTGACTCAAGTGAACTGATTTTTTGGTTGGTGATAGATTTGTATTTCAAGTATTTTTCATTTGAATAAGCTAAACAAATACTATTGTGAAATTAGTGAGATTTCATCTATTGTCGATTAAGAAAAAAAAATGAAACCTTTTTGTAGATGATTTTCAGCTGTCACCTAAGACCATAAGAATAAGAAGTCAAAACGAACTATAATGACGGACAAAGGTTTAGAACAGTTGTAGCTTTGCGTTTTTCTAGAAACTCCAATAAAACTGCTTGAATAAGGATTTCTAGAAAGCCAAAAAATACAAGAAACCAGTTTTTGGTATAGATTTGAAGCTTTTTGAAAATGATTTTATTTGATAGAACAAAATGACATGTCTTGCCTCTCTTCCTAACCTTCCTCCATCAAACTGTACTCAATTTATACAAGACCACAAAATGTTAAACACGGTAAAATCATTGCAATTTTTCATAAAAACAAAAGAAAGATGCTTCTTGAGTTTTCTGTAAATTGAATGCAATTGGATGAAGAATAGTCAGGAAGCGAATCGAGATATCTCACTTTATTCCATCAAATAAAGCCCTTTCCAAAAAACTTCGATGTATTTCAGAAAACTGTTTTTCTTTGTGTGTCTTGATTTTCTTGATGTCTTCATCTAAGAAGTTTTATTAAAGTTTTTAGATCAACAAATCTTGATAGAGAATCCTTCTAGCTATGCAATCGTTTTTGAAATTCTTTCAAGCTATTACCATCGAGAAGAAAACTCAAAAGTGCAGCTGCTCAAAAATTTTATCTGTCACTATAGTACGTTTTGGTTACTTCCTATTATTCTCTTAGATAACCACTGAAAATTATCCACGAAATACTTCATAGCTATTTATTTTTCTTGTTTAACAATGCGTAAAATTTCTTTAACTGGACACTAGTATTTATTTACGTTATTCATGTGGAAAAGAAGCTTTACATATGTTTCTACCACTAACTAAAACAACAGCTCATTCTAGAGAACCGAAGCGGAGATATTTCAATTTTTTTATTGTAGAGCTATTTATCGTCCATTCTGTATATACAAGTGTATGTCTTTGATTCTATTGATAAGACTCAGCTCTCACAATAAATTATTATGCTCATCATTATTAATATGATGATCAATGATAAGAGTATCAAATTGAATAAGACTTTTCTCTACAACTCATAATGAATTTCTTACACAATAATCTCAGTAGAAAGTTGACTATCAATTCATATGTCAATTATAATATATGTGGACAAAAGATAAAAAGCTCTATAATACAACCACACCCATATTATCATCTCACGAAGAAATCTAGGTCACACTCTATTTTCATATAATAAATAACAATCCCTTTGAACATATGAACTTGTTTTTCACGTTACTTCTTATATGAAAAATAATAGTTGAAAATAGATTATGATGCGACACGCTATGTATATGATAAATTAAAACTAAATGAAGCCGCAACACGCATACACACTTGCTGTGTTCAGTGAATGAAATTGCCTTTCTTTCTTTCTTTCAGTATACATATATTCATTGAATGTTTGATAAATTCAATTTGACCATCTGGTTTAAATCAACATTCTGAGATTAAAGTAAGGTAGAGAACGAAGGTGACGGTAAACGAACAAAAATTTTTTAAAAAAAACTAGAACTCGAATGGATTACACTTTAATTTTCTTTTGTTGTATAAAACATATTAAATTTTATAACGCTTCTTACGATAGAAAGCAGTTTATTCTTGTAGTTACACTTGGCATATAACAATTTTTGATAGTTTGTTGTTATATTTCATTTCGATAAGTGTTAATAATGTTCATGTATTATAAGCATAGTAGAATCACTGTGTGTAAGAATGTTTATATTAGTGAGAGATAAGCAGTGAACCGACGTCAATGTTCTTTATGGATCATGTGTCTATCACGAATAACCTTGGATAGATTTGCCTCTTTTTTCTTTTTTGATAGTTATCAGTGAATATATTCAGGTAAAACTTGATGAAAAACTGGTAGATTCATTCATGCGCAATAATAAAATTCAGTACAACAGAAAAAAAGGGACAAAGATTAATTGAAGTAGTCGTCTCCTTCCTTTCTTTTCCTCATGCCAGTTTAACAAGATGGCCTTATACATATATGTATATATGTATACATATATAGTATTTGTATATAGAAAGAAAAAAGCGAGAGAAAAAAGGACTCATGCAGGCATTGATAATAATACTTGCATTCGTAGTATCATGTAGAGAATAATAAGTGTCACATCGTAGAATTGTCGATATTATTAAATATGTAAGAATGTTTTCAATCAATATAGTCTCATTTTAGATTTGATAATCATATAATCACGCGTAAAACTTTCATTTTCTAATAATATAATTCAATATTAATGTTGATCAATTTATCTGGTAAGTCTAACAAACACATTTATTTTTCTAACATTGTCTATCATCTATTCGATAATGACTTTCTCGCAAGTCATAAAATTCTTCATATTTCTATTGTATAAGAAACATTTATAGCAGTACAAAAAGACAAGAGACCTGTTTACATCTGTTAAAAGCCAATGTAATGTTTTGATAACAGACTGCTATTTTTTGTGTCAAGTGCATTTTTTTTTAGTGTTTATCTATTTTCTATTTAATCAACGAAGCAAGAAACATGACAAGTCAATGCTCTTCTTTCTATTCTTTCCAGATGCTATTTTGTTGCGAAAAAACTCATTAAGATGCTTGTCTGATCTACAAGGATTCAGCAGACAGAATCTTGAATGGCGAGACAAGAAATCTTTTAGCTCTTGAAAATCAAGTCTGTTTCTTTTTTTAATCTTAGAACAAGATAATATTTGGAATAATCTAGCGAGATTCTTGCAGTTTTACTCCTACGATTAGTATGGATCTGTTATTTTATTGTTGATTTTTTCCTTGGAATTACAAGCATTAATAAGATGAACAGAATGATATTACAACAACAAAAAGACACTCTAAATATCAATAAAAGTAATGAAAAAAAAAAGAAACAGAAGTTCATAATCATTTAAGTAAAATGTTTGTTAAGTAAACCATGAAAACCCTAATATAAAGACAAATAGTTCATTTACATGTTAACTGTGATATGTTCATCATAGAAATAAGTGAAGCAACATAAAAAAGCATTTTATATATGCTTATAAGAAACTATAGATGACTATCTATCTTTCAACTCTGACCAGAGTCTTTTTATCACTCTATTATCGATAAAAAGAATCTTTACTGAACTTCAGGACAAAAAGCATTCTATATGATACGTCAAGAAGAAAAGAATCTGGAAAGAGTAGGACAAGAAAATCAACTTGTGATAACAGTAATTCCTCATTTATTTTCTTTAGCTCTCGCTCTTCTGTTTGTGGAACTGTTGTCACTGGGAGATCTGTCATCGATCAATGACAATGATAATCAACATCAAATACAAATAGCAAATATACTTGTCAATCAACTGACTTCATCGACAATACTTAAGTATAAATATATTATATATCAATCAAGAAAAAGTGTTGTTTTTTTATATTGGAGAAACTAAAAAGAAACTTCAAATATTTCTTATCAAATCAATAGACCAAAGAAATCTCTCGATCATAGATAAAGTACCTTGATAAAATTACTCTAACTGATAATGACATGATCTTATGAATTGATGATAATACTGTTTGTCATTGTTAAGGTTTATTAAATTGAATTCTTATATTTTAGTACACTATCAACAAATATACAATGGATCAAAACATTAAAAAATATAACAGAAGATCATGGTCGAACAGTTCTTTTAGAATGTGAAGTTAATTCTTTATATCCTGTATCATTTAATTGGTATAGATATAATAATCCAATTGATAGAAGTAGTTTTAGTATTGATCAAAATTTATTTCAATCGAGGTAAAAAAAATATTTTATAATAGCAAAAAAATAGAATAGAATTATTTGATATAGTATTCGTTTAAAAAATTTGAAAGAATCTCAAACTGGTTTTTATACATGTGAAGTATCAAATGGTTTTCAAACATTAATATCAACTGGCTTTGTTCGGGTGAAAAATTCAGGTATTATCAATGTTTATTTTTGTACTATAATATTTATGTTTTTGATTAACATAGATTTCGATCCAATTGATTTAAATGATGATTTGTAATTAATTGATTTTGTTTTGTTTTCTTGGTTTTAATTGAAAAAAAAATTCATTTTAGATTACCAATATATGAATTTCAACCGGAAATTATAACACATAATGATGAATTAATAGATAAGTTAAAATGTGAACTGTATAAAGGTAATATTTGTCGATCAATAATTGGTTCAAATTATATAGCTCTAACAACATCAGATGAAAAAGAAATTGAACAAAATTTAATTAATAATATTCAATTTCTTTCAAACGAATGTCGTCATTTGTTATTACCTATGATTTGTTTCTTTCTATATCCTGTTTGTGATAAAAATCGAATAACAATTCGATCGATATGTCGAAAATCATGTTATCATTTTCAAAATAATAATTGTATGAAAGAACTTTTAAGTCAACAACAAATTTATTCAAGTTGTAAGTTAGAAAAAAGACAGTCTTTTTAAAAAAAAACTCATCTCTTATTATATTCATAGTTCGAGTTTCACATAATATACCAACATGTGATAATTTACCACCATCAAGTGACGATGAATCTTGTGTTAAAGTTGATCAATATCGAAATGGTAAAGAAAAAAAATCGTAGATCATAAAGAATTGCAGGACATTGTCTTTAATTAAACCATATATAGCCTTTATCATCCAAATAGAAGTCAGAGAAATCACATTATACAACAAATAAGCACTTCTTCACTTGAACCCCTCCAATTAGATTCGAGTATGATAATCTTGCATCCAACAAATTCTACTCTTCATTTCTACACAGTGCTATGCCAATTAATGTGCATAGAGGATGTGTACAATCTGAAGAAGAACCAATAATAGGGAAACACTAGAACCCGCCAGGTAAGTTTCGGACTTGGTCAGTTCAGATCTGAAAAAATTCTGTTGACCAGGTCCAAAAATCTTCGACTCAACGAGCTCTGGTCGTCTGAGAAATGTGTAGAATACGCTACTCACCAAATGCAAAATAACCACAAAAAAGTATGTCCTATCTTCTAGCAACAACATAATTCCGATTAGAAAATTTCATGAAAACTATCACAGTACGGCTGGATCGAGTCCAGGCATTAGTATGAATTGAAAGAATTTCAATTAGCCGGAGGCGGATCCGAAAGTTTGAACCTAACGAGCTCTAAATAAAGATTTGGAACATTTATATTGCCAAAATATTGATGAAAAAATCCAAACTCCTTTTGCATATTTTTTTTGAAGCATCGAAAATAAGATTAACAAGAGAATCCATTCAACTGATATACTCTATGTGAACTCAAATTTTCCTTCCAGGTAGGACGTATAGCATAGATAAAAAGTCTAAAAGAGTTCATGCAATTAAGTCTTTCTTCTTTGATTATGCTCATTCTACTAAATTTTCCGGCTATTGTAAGATATTATGAAAGAAACAGAAACAAAGAATTTCAGTCGGAAATTTCTCGTTACTATTCTTTTCTTGATATGGCGGAATAGACTGAAAATTCAGCAAATTGAGCATAATTCGAAAAGAAAAGACTAATTGTGCAAACCCATTTAAGACTTCTATCTATATTATGAGTTCTGTCTATCAGAGACCAACTCGAACCGCAATCAATTGACCGATAGCAAACACTAATGTCTACTGGCTGAAATGGAGCATATTCGCCGGATGTGTCCCCTCATAAGAGGAACACATTGAACACATTTATATTCAAATTTAGATGATTTTTCATGAAATTATTGCGGGTGTACTTTATATTATTTCAATAAAAGAGAAATGCTGATAATCGATCAACATATGAAGAAGATCTTTGCTCGACTTTCTTGCTCGGACTCTGTTAGAATTATATCTGATGATCATATTAAACTATTGCATAGACGAAAACTTGCCATTTTTGATATTAAAATCGACTAAGTGGATTTTTAGCCCAGACTACAAATCACTTAGAGTTACATCGCATATATTCTTAATCATCCATAGATATTAAATACCTGAAAGTATAGTGGTATACGATGTCGCAACGTTTTCGAATGAAAAATTCTGAACCTCGAATAAGATTTTTTTTTATTCTTTAGTTTCAACAGTTTCCAGTACTTCTCCAATTATCGGAGGTTTATTATCATCAAATTATCCTCTAATATTTTCCTTAAAAATGTTCATAGCTGTTGCTCTAATTTGTGTACTAATACTATTCTGTTATTGTTGTTATCGTAATCAAAATAATAAGAGTCATTTATCCTCAAGTTCAATAGCATTATCACCAAGAATAAAATCTTCTTGTCTTGCAAATCCAATTCCACCATCACCATGTCAATCGCCAATTATTATTAAACAAAATCATCATCATATTAGATCATTATCATCATCACCAACAACAAATACAAAATTAACTCATATATACCATCGTCAAACATCACTTCAACCAGAATCTAGTCATCAACAAATATACTTTCCTTCTGGCGTTAATGCACTATATGAAATCCCATTTACAAATGTCCGTTTTTTACAAGAAATCGGTCAAGGTAAAAATCAATATTTATTTATATAAAATTTTATCCAATTGAAATTATCTTTCAGGAGAATTTGGACGAATATATATCGGTGAATTGATTGATAGTAAAACTAAATGTGTTATCAAAACATTAGAAAATGAACATGCAAAACAAGATTATTTACGAGAAATTGAAAGTATGAAAGAAAAAGCTCTAATTTTTATTATTATTCACACAATATTTTTGCTTTTTTTTTCTTTAATTAGTTTTTCATCATATTCATCATATAAATATATCTTGTCTTATTGGTATTTGTATTCCAGCACAATATATATATTCATTAATGATTTATGAATATTTAAATTATGGAAATTTACATGAATATTTGATTTTACAATGTTCAAAAAAAATTAATTTAACCGATCTTCTTTTTATAGCAATACAAATTGTATCTGGAATGATATATTTATCTGAAAAGAAATTTCTTCATAATGATTTATCAACAAAAAATATTTTTCTCTGTGAACATTTAAATATTAAAATAACAAATATAGGACGTTATCAACGAAAATATCATTTAGATTATTATAATATAGCAAATCATTTATTACCTGTAAGATGGATGTCAATTGAATCATTATTATCAGGTATATATTCTGAAATGTCTGATGTTTGGTCATTTGGTGTATTATTATGGGAAATGTTTTCATATGGTACTCAACCATATTATGGATATACAAATCCTGAAGTTATTGAAATGATACGTGATAGAATATTATTATCATGTCCATTAAATTGTTCGAAGAAAATTTATGCATTAATGTGTTCATGTTGGGAAGAAATTAGTGAACAACGACCAACATTTATTGAACTTATGCAAAAATTAAAACAATTTCAAGAGAAAACAACATTGTTGTCTGTTGATGATAAATCAATATCGTTAAATCAATTGGAAGAATCATTTAGAGAAAAATACAGAGCATCGATATTATCTATTGATGAATGAATGCATGCATGAATGAATGAGTACATAAATGATATTTTATTAAATAGAAATAGTATTTGTTTTGAATTTGAAAATTTTTATGTTAGGTTTACTTGTTGTATAAAGGTATTTTAATGTATTTGTTTTAATATTAAAACAGATAATTTGAGTGCATTAAATGTTTTTATCTTTGACTATTTTTTTTTAAATCGACTGATTATATTTACTTTAAACAGATTGATTTGATTGTGTTTCAATCGCTGACATTAACAAACATTTTTGTGGATGCTTTTTTAATATCATTTCAAGATCTGAAAATTATTGCCATTTGCTAGTTGGTGCAATAAATGAAAACATGCGTTTTATGTATTGTTTGTTTTTTTCATTTTTGTTTGAATCTTTTATGTACAGTGTGAACTCATTGATGTTTAAATAAATATCTTGATAAAAATTTAGTAGTATGGTATTCTTCATTCTATTAGTTAAGAAATATTTCTATAGCATGTAAAAAATTATAACCTCGTTCATTAGTTATATTTTTTGTTTCATTTATCTATCGAAATACAGCGACTGATTGATTATTAACATGTGAAATTCTAACATATACAGAGTGTACAGAGTGATCCGAAAATCTATCGGAAAATAAAGCTTTATTAGCTGTTCAACAGTTTCGATAGTTTATACGTCTGTTTCATCATCTGATTCTATATATTCATCCAAGTTATAAATAAAATGTTGATACCTATGCATTTTTAGAATACAAATCGTTCTATTCATGACGAACGTTGAATCAGCTATGATTATGACAAGAAAATAGAAGTCTGCATCAGAGTCATTTTTAGAAATAGTCTAAGCTCTCTTAATTGCTTACCAGTAAATTTAGGTTCCACACTAAAGATTTTTTAGAATGGTGAGCTTTATTCTGTCATATTCATCGTACAAACAGATGTATTTTGTCGGTTGAATTCTCGTCTCCTTTGGATTTACCAAAAGACTGAAATAAATTCAAGTCAAGCTTAACGCCGACTTCTTTTTATAGACGTAGACCTTCAAGAGACACCAATCAAATTTTTCAAACATGTCAGTTATTATAATGAGTATCAACGAATAAAACTCACGATGCAAAAAGCCTCTCCTGTTAAAACTGATTTGTTAATGAGATATTCAATTGGCTTCCATGCAGTTCCAACGCAAACCTCTTATCAAATCGATATTTTAGTAGTCTGAGCACATGCTCAATGTCCTACAGTAATGATACAAGAAAAAATTGCTGACGTTCATGATGGTAGTGAAAGAGTATCGGCATCAAGTGTTCCGACTATTTGCAAAGTGTACTCAACAGTATATTGAATCATGACAAAGCTCGATGAATGAACTATGTTTAAATTTACGAGAAAGAAAATTTTCAAAATTACCAATACACGAGAGCGCGGTTTCGGTGAATTTCGCTAATTTCTGAAACATAAGGAGGCAGCTCTAATAATGGAGATGTTTGTGTTGTCTGTTAGATGAATCGGGCTTATTTGAGTCAAATTAAAGCTCTCACTGTCAAATTAACAGGATTAACATATAAGCTTGCGTAGGAGAAAAATATTCGATTCTTACGACACTCACCGTTTGAGTATATAAGAACACTAGGACTATTAACATGAGTCTTTGGACACAATCAACTGAGTATATTAATAGTAGGCTTCAAGAATCTTTCTTAAATATATCACTAGCATTAAAATCATATTAGTTTCGATATCGTCTGAGACTTAAGTAGTATTAATTTAGATAAAGACCAGCTAGCAGTTATCAAAACTTTTAACTCATCCAAAGAGCTTCGATTTTATTTCAAATAACAAAAATAGATGATACAATACACTATTTCAACAAATGCACTATAAATGTAGTTGTAGGTCTTCAATCAAATGATAGTAACCAAAGAGTCTTTTTGCGCCTGACATACATAAACAGTGTTCATTCTCTTTCAACTCATGTATGGTCGATATTCCTAACTTGTTCCGTGTTGAGCTAATATACTTATGATCAGGGTGTGGATGTGTGGGTATGGATGTGGGTCTGGGTGTGGGCGTTATGCATTTCGTCAATCAGGCTACACACCCACACCCTCATTTTTTCAAGCTGCAATTCTTTTTATGACAACTAGAATCGAATCGACGTGCGCCGCCTTTTTCCTTTCAAAAGTATAATTCTTAGAGCTCAGAAGAAACCAAATACTGGAAGTGCGGTCACAAAAAAAAACGTGTTTTTTTAATAGTACTAATTTTTTCAAAAGCTGCCGAATTTGTTAGGATAAGCATTTTTAAGAAAAAAGAACTAAGCATCGCAACTTGACCAAAGTACTCAAACAAAGCCTTGAGCCCCATTGGACGTATCGTACAGGAGAATAAGAGAGAAAACTGTTTTACTTTTTGTTCAAAAATTGAATCCAAGAAAACGAAACAAAGATTTTCACGTATTTTGCAAGACTTTTTCTTTCAACTGAAATGATCGAAAGCTGACAATGTTTAGCGATATAATGGGTTCATGACCTATGTTCTAAGCACACTAAAACAATAATCGTCCCAGGTCAAAAAAGCACGATCGTAAACGGTCGTATACGACGAAATACGTCTAGAAACGGTCATCGTACACGACGATCGTATACGATGAACGTATACTGCGCCATACGTTCAAATACAATCAACGTATACGTTGAAAATAAACGACTGCCGTGCACGAGTGTAGTATACGACTGTATATGGTCGTAAGTTAGCCGTAAGTTGAGCTGCATGTGTCGACCATATCCAGGTCGAAAAATCACATAGTAAGATCAGTTATGAATTCTTGTATGATCCTATTCGATGTTACTCAAAAATCGTATATGTTCATACAAGATGACACAAAAAATCATATGAAAAATTGTCGTCTCAGAAATCTGATGTCAATTCTTCTAGCAAGTTCCTTAGATGCTCCAACACTAAAATCTTGTATGATTATAAAAAAATCGTACAGTAAAGGTTTTAACTGATTTCTTTAAAAACATACATTCTCGTCATGTTTCACCTTCTCTGGCAGCTATAGTTCAACTTAACTTCACATAGCCCAGATCTTTTTACTTACTGAACCCGATGCATAGGTGCCTACACCGGCAGTTATCATTACATAATAAAATTCATAGCATAATAGTCACAAAAACTCATGCATAAAAAAGTTTACTCTCTATACCGTTAACAAAGAGAAATAAGAAATAAAAGTTAAGATTTTCTACATTACCAATATAGAAAAAACAAAAAACTAAAGAATATGATCTTCCGTATTATTAATATGGAAAAGTAAGAAAAAAAATGGGACTTTTTGTACTACTAATATAGAAAAATAAGAAAGAAAAATCAGCATTTTCTATATTACTACTAAAGACAAATAAGACACAAAACTAACTGTTTCTATGTCATCAATATAGAAGAATAAGAAATAAAAATTAAGATTTTCTATATTACCAATATAGAAAAATAAAAAATAGAATTTTCTATATATCCAATATAGAAATATAAGAAATAAAACTTAAGATTTGTCGTATTAGTAATATAGAAAAATAAGAGGTAAGAAGTTAGCATTTTCTATATTATTGTTATCGACAAATAAGACAAACAATATCTGTTTCTATCAGAGATGTCCATCGCGCCGCTGCCGCCGTGGCGGTGGCGGCGCGACAGCGGCAGATTTTTTCCAAAAACTATCGCGGCGCGGCAGCGGCGCCGGAGAGATTTTTATTTTGCCGTCGCGGCAACAGCGCGGCGGCGGCAGCTTTTTAAGAAAAAATTTCAAAAATTCATGAATTTGCACAGAATCTGCATGTTTATGTATGCTATACTGTCAGACTTAGCGAATCTGATCGATTAGCGGCATCAGTTCCATGTCAAACCAGTCAAAGCCTTGAAAATCAAAACATTTTTTCGAATACCAGCGCGGCAGCGGCAAGTTTTTTTTAAGACGCGTCGCGGCAGCTTTGTTTGATTTTGGCCGCGGCGCGGCAGCGGCAGATTTTGAGCCGGGATGGACATCTCTGGTTTCTATATCTGTTTCATAACAAGAGAAAACAGATGTCGCCTGTTTAAAAAAATGTAATTTTTATCAGTATCAGATACATTTATTCCTTTACAAATTTTGTTTTCTGACACTCAATTGAAAGGAATAAAACAAATATACCTCTTATTTAAAACTATGTTCGACGTTTTTTCTTCGATCAAGTATGTATTTGAACACAGAGATATTACTCTTCAGTAATAATATCTGTAACGGTAGCAGACATAGCCTGTCTATTTTGTATGCATGTATGTATATCTGCATTCTTTTTCCATTAAGTACTCAATTCTTAACATAAGATGGGTATCTCGTATTTGATATATATGAGCTTTGTCTTACATAAAGTAGCCAGTTTATAGCAGTAAAAAGATGAATACTTCTTACTTTATACAGTCTGTTTTCATTTCATCTAATATTTAGCTATACGGATAGAGAGACATTCAGATAGTACTATACTGTATAGTCGTTATTGTCAATGAGTAATTCGTTCATGAAGTAGAAAGATATTCCTTATCCAATAGAAATTAGCTATAGCTAGATGGTATTAAATCTCCAGTTTTGAATGAGTCTGAAATCGTTGTTTTTATCAATTTATTTATTTATTAATGTTGACTCCAGCATTAGTATAGTAAATTATACATTAGATTATATCTAATACTAATATTTCGACTGTATAAATAATTTACTATTTGATGAATTTTCTTTTTTTATTTCTGGATTAGATGAATATTATTTTTTATTTTTAGATTAGATAAATCTTATTTTATTATATTTAGATTAAATAAACTTTTTTCTCCGATTGGATAAATTTTAAATTTTATTTTTTAGATTATTAAAAGGATAAATAAAATCATAAAGTATCAATGCAATGGAATGGGGATGTCCAATTTGGCTGGAGGTTCAAGTTCTTGTTTTTCATGCAGCTTTGATGATATATCGAAACAGTACGATGATATATCATCAAAGCTGCATGAGAAATAAGAATTGGGAGCTCCAGTCAGACTGGACACCCCAAAGATTAATTTTTCCATCTTTGGAGAGTTGGGAGGGGGGAGGGTAGGTAGCAAAATTTTGAATAAAATACGATGACAATCCACATAGTATACGACTGTGTACGATCGTTTACGGTGGTCGTATATACATCGTATTTCGTCGTATACGACACGACGATATACGGTCGTAAATCTGGCGCCAAGTAATACGGCGAAATACGGTCGTAATTTACACCGTATACGACCGTACACGATCGAATACGCCGTCGTATACGATCGTTTACGACTATCGTAATGCTCGTGCTACGTAGCACGAGCTTTTCTGCTAGACACTTCGAGAGTTAGATTTAATGAAAGTATAACATAAGAAAGAATTTTGCGCATTTCTATGGCATTTGACACAGGACACTTGGGAGCCGTATTAAGTGATGAAAAAACCAAAACTCGGAAAATTTTCGATTTTCATATTCGGAAAGAGGGCTCCTTCTTAGTACTGCTCTAATTGGAAGACTCTAAAAGTGACAAATAGCAGAAATAGTCTCAAGATAGATGTATAGGGTAAGATAATTCTGCACACAGAGTCCATGAAGTCCAAAGTTTTAAGACTTCCACTCCTAGCGGCGTAACCAGAGTTTTGGCGATGGTAGGGCTCAGCAACGCTTAAATATCCGGTGGTAGGGCTCAGGTTACTGAGGTCTGTGGGGTGGTATGGCTTGTGAAAGGATTCAGCTGACGATGCTAACACCGGTGGTAGGGCTGAGCCCTCCCCCTGGCCCTACCTTGGTTACGCCACTACCCACTCCATCGAGTTCGGGACCAACTCGATGCGCTCCATCTGCATATCTCTAATTTGAGTCTATCTATATTGTTACAATAGAGACATATTCCCTGACAAAAAAAAAATCATAAAAATATAGACATAATTATTTTTTGCAATAAATGACTATAACAGATTGAACGTTACATTGTCTTTTAGTGACATCTAGCATGCATACAAAGGAGATTCGTTATACATATCTCCATGAAGAAATGGGAAAAAGGAACAACTCCTACTATTAAATATTGGTTAACTTTGTTTAAAAAGTTGATCTATTTGACGTTGCTTTCAAGAAATCTTTATCTATGTTGGCTTTTATTTTAGGTTCTAGCAATGTTATAACACTTCCATTTGGATTGATCAGAAAAGTTGTCTTTCAAAAAAAAAGAAAAAAATTAATTTAGTCATCAATTAAGAGTTTGACTAACTGATTATTGTTAATTTTTTTTCTTTTACTTTTATCTTTAATAAATGTGTTTTATTTTATCTGTTTGTATGCAGTATAGAGACAGAGGTGAAGAATACAGTCTTTTCTTTTCTTCTCTCAAATCGAATACAATCATGTACGTCTTGTGTTTAAGGTACACAGATAGTGTTTGATGGAAAAGAATAAATTTTTATTATATTTTGATTTAAATAATTATTAATCTTGATTATTTTATTCATATTTAGACAGATTATCGATTAAAACAAAAAATTAATAAATGAATTGAAATAATGACGAGTGAATTACAAATAGGTTCGATTTAATCTTTTGAAAACAAAAATTATATTTTAAAAATTATTTTTTTTTGTTAGAAAATGACAATGAAACTGAAATGAATCGAAATGAAGATATCGATTCGAAAATTGCTGATTTTATGGCAGTATGTGATCAAATATTACTTTTTTTTGTCCTTAATTGATTCAATACAAATATTTTTTCTTTTTTTTTCTTTTTCTAAAGGATATTGATGAGATTGTTCTTGGTAAAAAATCAACTTCCAATAATGTTCATAATCATGAAAAATCTGAGTGGAAAGAATGTTTTGATGAAACATCTCAATCAATTTATTATTGGAATACAATAACAAATGAATGTTCATGGGATCCTCCTTTAATAGCATCACAAAATGATTGTACTGGAAAATCTATGAAGTAATTCTAGTTTGTTTTTTTTACTGCTTTTTAATTGTTATTAATTTAGTTCAACAGATGCCGACGAAGTAAATAGTAAGTTTGCATTCACATTTTGTTTTTTTTTTTTTACTTTTATTTATATTTTATAAGTAGAGAAAAAACGTCAACAATCAATAACTGATAATAAATCTCCCAAAAAAATAAAAAAGCCAAGTCTTATTGCTGAATATGCTTCATCAGAAAGTGAAACAAGTGACGATGAAGAAGAAAATGTTGATGATATTGATGAACTTTTAAATGAAGTACTTGATAAAGAAAAAAAAGATAAAAAATGTCAACAATCTGATTTATATCCATTATTTGAAGCTGATTGTCGAGCTGCAATTGCACGTCTTATGGATTTAGGTGATAAAAACATGGAAATTTTTACTTTACGAATTCAATTAGAAGTAATAATAATCTTTTTTTTTTGCTATTTTACAATAAAATTTTTTCTGTTACTTATTTAGACACGTCTAGAAGACTGTCTTTCTGGTCATCTATCGAAATCCTATGCTGTTAGTAAATTAGAACAAGCTCTAATACGAATTGAAGAATTTGAAAAATTATTTCTAACGTCTTCGACATTATTACCGTAAGTTATTAATTTCATTGAAAAAATTTATAATAATCTATTTCTCCTTTCACTTTTAGAACCATTCCAGAACCATTAAAACCACCATTGACATCAAGTGAAATGGCTCTTCTACTTTCACTTCCTCCCCCTCCACCTCCACCAAGTCCACCACCACCACCTACTTTTCCTTCTACATCATCCCATGATGATGATCAAACTCTTCAACTTTTTTATGCTCAGCTTAATTGTGATCCACCTGACTCGACGTCTTCTATTTTCGATGTGGAAACAACGATGAGTAATATGAAATCTGAACAACATCAACATCACCCTCAATATCATCATCATCATCATAAAGATAAAAAATCCGTAATATAAAAAAAAGACATTGAATTAATTTTAATTATTTTTTAAGTTTTTATATTAGAAACCAGCAAAAACATTACCTACAGATCTTATACAAAAATGGACTCATGCACGTCAAGAATTACGCGGTATTGCTGATATTGATGATTCTTAAAATTTGAATTCTTTCAATATATATAAATATATATATATATACATAGCAAAACATAACATTGATTTCGAAAAAAAAAACTTATTAACGTTGTTTTTTCTTTTCTTGTTTTTTTTTTGTTTTAAATCATTGTAGATTAATTTGAAGATCAATTTAATAAAATATGACTTCCGGTGAATGGTGTTTAATTGAATCGGATCCTGGTGTATTTACTGATCTTATTCATGGATTCGGTACGGGAAATTTAATATGTAAAGAATTTTGAATTTTTGAATTTTTTTTTAGGAGCCAATGGTGTTCAAGTAGAAGAAATTTTTTCACTTGATGATGATAGTTTACAACAAATGAAGTATGAATGTTTAATTTTTCGATTGATAAATTAAAAAATATATATATACAATATATTTAGGCCATGTCATGGATTGATCTTTTTATTTAAATGGCAAGAAACTGATACGTCAAATGATAATATGGTTAAAGATTCACGTCTTGATGAAATATTTTTTGCTAAACAAGTAAAATAATTTTGTTTCTTAAAATTAATTCTATGATTGTTTTTTTTCTTTTTTGTTAGACTATAACAAATGCTTGTGCAACACAAGCTATTATATCCGTATTATTAAATTGTACTCATGATGATCTTAAACTTGGTCCAACATTAAGTGAATTTAAAGAATTTGCTCAAGCATTTGATTCACAAGTTTGTTTTAATAAATCTTATGAAAAATTTTATTTTTTTTGTATTTTTCAATCAATAGATGCGAGGTTTTGCTTTATCAAATAGTGAGAAAATTCGTTGCGTACACAATAGTTTTGCAAGGTTTATTTTTTATTGATTTTTTTTAATAATAAATTGTTTTTTTTTATTTTATTTCTTCATAGACAACAATTATTTGAATTTGAATCACGTGACGAAAAGAAAGAGGAAGATGCATATCATTTTATCGCTTATATACCGTTTAAAGGTAATCATTTATCTTGATTATAAATTTTAATGTGTTTTTTTATATTCTTAGGTCGTTTATATGAACTTGATGGTTTAAAAGAAGTAAAGAATAAATTGATATTATATGAATAAGAATATTATTCTTGATTTTTCAAGGCTCCAATTGATCATGGTGCTATACCAAACGATACTGAATGGACTGATATTGCTCGACCAATTGTTCGACAACGTATGGACAAGTAAAAGAAAGAAATCGATTTATAAACTATATTATTTTTTTACATACAACATTCTTTTGTTTTTGTTTTTAAGATATAGTGAAGGTGAAATTCATTTTAGTTTAATGGCTGTAGTTAGTGAACTTCGCAGAAAATATGAACACGAATTGGAACAGATTTTAGCTGGTAATAATAAATTTAATAAAAATCTCAAAATTATAAGATATTTTCAAATCAAAAATTTTTTTTTGAATCTGGCTTCACACTTAGTTATACATATACTAGTGAAAAATGCAGTATCATTGTTTAGCAGTGTCAATGCGCTCTAGATATCTTACATGACCTTTAATGTTTTTTTTCTCTGGAAGATTCATGAAGAATATTTCGTCTATTTTGCACGTTGATGTATTCGGCAACTCTGTTGTTTACGAAAAAAAAACAGAATTGATTGTACTACCAAAATTGTAACAGCAAATATTTAAGTAATCATTACTCAGTAATTTTTGCATAAACTTGTAGAACACACACGGGTTATCAGAATATGACATTTGATGTAAATCTTATACGGCCAAAAAAGATACTCTTCTCAATAAAATAGTATTGACTCCGGCATTATTTTGCCCGTATTGAGTGTTAAATTAATTACGTGAGAATGAAAGTTATATATTTACGTACAGTTTCGAATCAACTTATCATTGCACTTATCGATATCGTTTCTTATATCGTTATGAGTTCTATGAGATATATCAATCGTAGATCTATGAATTCTATGTGTACAACACTAGCCCCAGTTTCTATCCCATGAGAATAGATAGTGAACTAATCTATGGAAAGCTTTGCAGAATTGAGATTAGTTCTAGTATATTTGGTATTTTGTTTTGACTTTTTATAGAACTCACATCTATTTTTCGAACGAAAGTAGTAAGTGTTAGCTAGTGTCCTAGCAACTGAGGACGACAAGCACCAGATTCTTGTTCTTAAGCAATGAAAAAAGGCATTGAATCACATTAACAAAAAAAAAGTCTTAGTCTGTTATAAAACACATTCATAGTCATCTTTGACATTTAATAGCTGAAATACATAATTCAAGATTCTAAATACCAGTGTTTCTAGCTTTTATGTCGATAAAAAAATTATATAATAAGTACCCGAGGATGATGGCTGTGATTTATTGATTAGTCACAGTCGTCCTATGAGAAACTCAAAAAGCACGAGTCGAACTAGTTCCAACCTTTAGGAATACTCGATTTCAGTATATCTGACATTATTGTAACATAATGAATGTGTACATCTAGATTCCTTGTAAGTTCAATAAATAATTCGAATAATAATCATAATACACGAAGAAGATAACAATAAAAATAAACAAAGAGAAAATAGTATTTTAATCTTTCGAATTTCTTCAGCTTTCTATACAAAGTAATTGAAAAGAAAATGTTATGAAATGAATTTCAGAATCCAAATTTTTCAAAAATACAAGAGCAGATAGTAACTATGCAAGTCTATGGAACTCTGAGGTAATATAGCACTATCATTTTTGATGTATTCTAAATTATCACCGTTTTTTTCTATAAAAGTAACTTTGTTTGAAAAAGAAATAAAACTAATGACAGAGATTCTTCTAACTGATTAATTGCTTTGAAGTTGAAACTATGTGCAGCATATAGATCCTAATGAGCTATCAATATCCTGAACAAGGTTTGTGTTGTTAGTTTATTGCAGCTGAAATAGTCTATTTTTATGGTGTTTTCTTAATGAAGTTCTCTTAGAACATTGAAAAAATTCGTTTTCGGATTTCCACTGGAAACTTTCTATAGAAAAATATACTCACCATGAATAGTTTATTATGAAAGCTTTTGACTTTTGATTTTTTCCTTTGCTGAAATAAAAATTGAAAATATGTCGGTATATATGACAAGCCAAAAATAGCTGTATTATAAAAAAAAACTGAAATATCTTCATTTTGATTCGCTCGAATGAACTGGTTTTTGATTGATAGTGAAATCTTATTGAAATTTAGGTTCTCATGTGTATAACGTAGACACACTACTGTAAAGTAAGAAAAATGCATATAAAGCGTTAGTAGATAATTTTCAGGTGTTATATAAGAAAAAAATCAAAACGAACTATATTGATACACATAAAGAAAATTTTCAGAACTAATTAGTTTAAAAGTTGAATGTTAGAATATTTTGAATTTTTAAATATGAAACACTGGGTTTTGGTATCGCCTACGAATTTCAACATTTAAACTAATTATTCGCTTTGAACACTTGCTCTATATGCATTGATATAGTTCGTTGTGATTTCTTACCCATAATTACTCTCTTAGTTAGATGACAACTGAACAATGTCTATGAAACGCTTTAACTATATTTTTCTTACTTGACTGTAGTACTTGTTAACGTTAGTCATATGAAAAAAAAAAATTTAAATAACCTTCTACCACTAACGAAAAAGCAGCTCATTCAAGCGAATCGAAGCGAAGATATTTGAATTTTTTATCGTAGTGCTATTGATGGCCTACCCTATATATAAGCAATATACAAGACAAGCTTTTATCATGGCTGTATCTTGGGATAGGAACAATAAAAAAATTTAAAACTTTCACAATCAATTATTCTTAATGAGTTCAATCTCTATGAAGAGTTTCAAGTTGAAGTTTGAAAATAAATTTCTTTGACGTTCTTGTGAAGAACCATGACATTTATTTAGAAAATACCGTAATAATATAAGAAAAAAGTCTAAAACTTATTCAATCTCAATAAAAAAAATGCAGTCAGTTATCATAATAAATTTTAACTAAATATTCTGAAATAAAAGATCGAAGATATAGTAGAATAAATTAAAAAGACATTGATAAAAAAATAAGAATTAGAAGTCATCACGCCAAAGAATCAACTATTTTCAATTTGAATATACTTTTTTTTTTTTCTTGAATTGTTATAAAATCTTCAAAATAACTACGATAATGTTTTAATAAGGCTACATTTGAATAGCTGATAGTATGATGAAGATCAATCAATTAAATGTTGGTATAAAGAGTGCACGCATTTAAATCATTGAATCACTGTTTACCTATTTTTAATTATGTAGTTACATAAAGAAGTGGAATAAGTGAAAAGTTGTTAGCAATCAATCAACTACTTAAATCATTCTAGTAGCTGAATTTTATTTGAAAAAGTACCTGTTTTGAGAAGCTATGATCTATTCAATCATTTGAACGAACTTCAATTAAAACATTTAGTAACATAAATGCTTCTCTACTTATATTATGTCTCATTTGTTTTTACTAGTTGAACACAAAATTCGTTTTTATAATAGAATCAGTTAAATTCTTTTTGAATTACATAAGAATTGAAATTGAATAAGCCTCTTTCAACTGTACATAAACACCAGGCACTTCTATTGTAATATAATACTCATGTTTCAATACTCATGCATTTCTTTTTTTTTTTTTTGAAATAAAGATTACACAAATTATATATGAAGAAGATTTTTTACTCAAAAATATATTTGATAAAAAATAAAACTAGATTTTTTTTTATTGATTTTTCAGATCCTGCATTAACTGATGATGAACGAAATGCTAAAACATCTCATTTATCGGTTTTAATTCATGAAGAAGAACGTAAAAGAGAATCATATCGAGTTAGTTTTGCGTATCATTTGTTTCTTTTTTTTTGTACTCAATTAAATGATTTGTAACAGATTGAAAATTTACGTCGACGACATAATTGGTTACCTTTTATTGTTGAATTACTTAAAGCATATGCAACACAAGGAATATTTGTACCTGCTGTAGAAAAAGTTGTATTCTGTTTTTTTTTTCTCTTATT